TGTGCCATATCCTTCCAGTAGGACCCTAACCTCTGTTACTCAAGATAAGCTCCCTTGAGGGCAGATTGTGTGTGTGTGTGTGTGTGTGTGTGTGACCATTATATCTCCAGGCCTGGAAGGATGCCTGCTCCAAAGCATGTACTCAATAACTACTTGTGAAATGGGTGAATGAATGAATGATATCTACTTCCATCTATCTATCCATCCATCTACCCATCCATCTATCCATCCATCTATCCATCTATCTATCTATATTTCTAAGATGAGAGCCCATAACTGTCATCTCTTGCCTATTCTAGGGTTACAACTTCTGGAAAGATTGTAAAGGGTCACAGGTCTTTGCAGCCCCTCCCATAAGAGGTAAAGTCTCCTTTCTCTACACCTTCATTCTGGGCTGGCCTTGTCACTTGGTTTTTGTCCCAAAGTGACATTGAGTTCTAAGCCTGGGCCTTGGGAGGTTTTGCACACTTCTTCTCTTGTAGGTCTGCTACCATCAGTAAACAAGCCCAGGCTAATCTGCTTGGTGGTGACAGACATGTGGCCAGGTCTCCCTTCTCAACGACAGACCAGTGGTCAAGGCCACTTTGGAGCAGCTGGCATCCAGCCAACCTGACAGCCAAACACAGACATGAGTGGAGATGAGCAAAACCTGGGCTAGTGTGGCATGGCCAGCACATCAACCCACGGACTTGGGAGCAGTAATAAGTAGTCATTGTTCAATTCACTAGGTTTTGGGGTTATTCATTGCCTCATTTTGCCTGTCTTTGGAATTTCCATATCTGTGTGGATTTCTTATCCTATTAAATTTGACTTTCTCCTATTAATCTTTCTCATGCCAGTTTGATTCTTAGGCTGGCTAGAAGGACCTTAAAGGGGACAGGAACTCTTGTTCTTTGACACCTGGTAGCCTATTAAAGGTCTTCAGAGCTCAGGATCTGGACTGACACAACCCTGAACTAGAATTCTGGGTTACCAGCTGTGTGACTTTTGGGAAAGCACTTAACGTCTCTGAGCTTCAACTTTCTATCATCTCCCAACTCCATGAGGGTTCATTTCTTCTTTTTCTTTACTTGGACCTGCCTCTAATCCTGAGCTCCAAGCTCCTGGTTGGGATGGTTCTTATTGCTCTTTATGCTCCCAGAGATGAGTGCCCTACACAAAAAGACTTCATGAAACCATATCTTTCTCTACATCATGCATTCTCAGTTGGGATAAAAATTGGTTCTTGGAGGTGAGAGTGGGAGCAAAAAAAATATTTTTGAATTTAAAATAAATTAAATGACATTTAATTGTGTATTATTAGTTTCAGAGATAGAATTTAGTGATTTACCAGTTGTATACAACACCCAGTGCTCATCGCATCACCTGTCCTCCTTAATGCCTGTCATCCAGTTACCCCATCCCCTACCCTCTCCCTTCCAGCAACCCCACTTTATTTCCTAGAGTTGAGTCTCTTATGGTTGGTCTCCCTCTCTGATTTTTGTCTTATTTTAAATACAAAATAAGGTCATGGAGCTTCAAAGTTTAGTTTTACCTGACATGATCTTATTTCTTTGCATTTAATTTCTCTTCTTACAGAGAAATTGACTGGAATTAAAACTAGTCTATTCCATGCTTGCTCAGGCCCAAGGGGATGGTGGCAGCCTCCCACTACTTCTGTTGCTCAGGCGCCTACATCTTTTCTCTTGATTCACTGTGCCCACATCTCTGTAAACAGGATGTTCATGCAATTCCCTTTAAAATCCCAGCCAACAGTACTCTCCTGCCGGACCTTGACCTAATTTCAAATTTATATAATAAGTTAAGAGTTTACAGGCTGGTTTTATAAAGGGCATCTCCCCAAACCCTGCATGGTAACAGGTGTGGAAGCTGGGTCTCCTGCTTGCAATGGGACTGTGAAGAATTCCCATTAGCAGCGCTCACTTGGGTTAGAGCCCACCTGCTGTGTAAACACACTCTAGGGATGTGGATGTATCTTGAGTAATGACCACTGCTTGTTTAACCTGCTTTTGTGAGACATTCCCATTTAATTGTCATTAAGCAAGCTTCAAAAATGAGGGCCACACACCGATTTGGTGTCAGGATATAGCTCCTGATTTGTAGGTCTAACTTCTTAATGTATACATGCCATTGCTCCTACTCAGTGATTTCTGCTTGGTTAGAAATTAATTTACTTGTTATTCTGCTTTGCACATAGTTTCCTAACTTCTGAGGGGGACTGAGTCATCTGATTTGACCCCCATCTAAGCTCTGGACCACTTAATGCAACTGGGTGGGATGTCTTTGCATATTAAATCAACATCATAGATCAGGGAGCCCTGTATTGGTCACAAGCTCACTAGGCACTTGGTACATACCCGTCAGGGTGGCTCTATCTAGCCTTCTGGAGCACTTAGAGCAGAGTGACCTTATAAGAGCAGTGACCATACTCCATGTTGTGTCTGTCCTCCCCACCAGCATGGGAATCTCCCTGGGAGGGTTTCACTTGGTGCCAGGCACAGAGCCCCCACATCATAAGATTTTTCACACTGTAACTGAAATGCTTTGGTGGCATCTCGTTTCCCTCAGAGATAAAGCTCTTTTATGGTGCCTCATTTATTAGCTGTCACAGCCACTGCCTCGGGGTTATGCGCACAGATAAAATATGTAGCAGGAAACTGCCTACCCTGTTTCTCTCTTTTTCCTTCACCTAATTTCAACTTCCTGTCAAGCCTCCTTGAATTGATTTGCTCATCACAGAAGCTGCCTCAGGCAAACTCCTGGTTTCTTTCCCAGGAGGATATCCTTTTCACTTAATCCTGGAGGGGCGGCCTCAAAACGGGGAGTCTCTCAGCCCCTTATCTATCAGCATTTCTGAGACACATTTTCCCAGTGAGGCTCCTCTTGGGATCCACTTCTTCTTGTCCAGTTAAGATGATCTCCCACCCGAGCAATTGCCTCCCTTAGACAGGTAATTCCCCTGGGGTTTAAGATGTACATTGTCAATGTGAATTCAAGAGAAGTTTCTAAAGCCTGGCCAATCTCGTAGTGGGTGAAGTCTGGCTGCTGGGTGACCATGGCGGGGATTGGAGAGTAGAGGGTAGAGGGCCCCCATTGATCTGGGGTTAGGGAGGGCAGGTGGACCACCTGGAGGCTCCCAGATCCTGAGGTAGAGCTTAGAGTCTAAACCACCAGAAACTTAGTAGGCTCTGTGATCAGAAGGAAACCATGTTTGCCCACATTGGGAGTAAAATTAACACCACCCTAGGAAGAGTGAGGGGCTTGGGACAAAACACTAGGCAAAATTGAGTGGTTTTGGTCAAGAAAGCACAGGGCTTGTGGATGAGTCCAATTTAGCCTACTTGTGAAGCAGACAGGAAGATGTGCAGTGACATATAGCATGAACATTCATGGTTCTTCCTGGGAAAAACTGTTATGGAAGATGATAACCCAAAAAGCACTAGTGTGCATACGTGTCTCTGTGCGCATGTGTAACTGAAGGGTACACACATGCATGTGTGTGTACATGTGTGCATGTGGATGTGTGCACTTTCATGTATCTATGGATGTACACATATGTGTATCTGCATGTGTGTGCATATTTGTGCGTGGGCAGGCACATGCATGTACATGTGTGGGTGCTGATTTTAGATTAAGAGGTCAGGAGAGGACCCACTGGGCCTGATGTGTCAAGTGGGATTTCCATACCAGCCTGTAAGCAGAGGCTACCCTTCTGGTCTGCTCCCCAGTGTTCTAAGGCCTAGTGTGGGGCTTCTGGCTGCCCCCCTGCAGGGGTACCCACATGAATGCCGTCCACAGAGGGGATGACGGGGCCCTGTAGGACTGAACACAAATACCCCCTGAATCATTTTAATGGCAACATGTGCCTCCTGGCTCTCCAGTCAATTTGCTGCCCTGCCCAGAGGGTGCTTCCACTTTCCTTGGCCCTCTGATCACCATCACAACACGGTATGGGTGTGTACACACACGTGTGTGTGTCTGATGCTCTCTCCCAGTCATTCTGCAGCCCATTTTGCCTCTCACTATAACACCCTGCTGTCCTGAGTTGGGGACAGATGCTGTTCATCCATCACGGATGTGACAGGACATGAACATGAGATGAGGCCCATGAAAAGCAGCAACATGAAGGGAGAAACAGAAATTCAGTTCTATGCGTTGATAGAAACGTAGCGTTGTTTTCATCAACACAGAAACCCAAACAAAGAACCACAGCAACACCTGCCAGCCAGCTGTATGCAAGTGTCAGCCCTGCCCTGAACCCTTTTCAGTCCGAGCTGAGGGGGCCCTCTCTGGTGGGGGCCCCTGAGGACACAGACACAGAGCCAGGGAATGGCAAGGCCATTTAATAGATGGGGAGGAGAGGACTTTCCTACTAGGGAAACAGCAGAGCTGGGGCTGGAAGTAAGTCCTGGGGAAACCAAGGCTGAGAACACTTGATAGACTACACCCTCAGGCAGCTACAGTGCAAGGTGGTGTTAGGGCTCTGGGAGTCAGGTGATCCCACCACAGCTGACTCCATGCAAGTTGCTCCCAGCCCCGCCTTCTCTACAGCTGTCATGAGTCTTAAGTGAGCTAGTATACACCAAGTGCTTGGCCACATCTAGCGCACACCCAGTGATCAATAAATCTCAGACATTACTATTATCATTATTATTAATATCATAAATATCTTCCACGCTAAATGGTCACTTCTCCATGGGCACAGATGGCAACTTGAGTATCTCTCATTCATCCCAGCTTGTGTATCTGACTCAGAGCTCTCAACTGTTAATTGTAGTTGTGATGTCGCAGTATGTTATCAGCCATCTAACTGTGGGTGACCCTGTTACCTGTTACCTACCATCTGTGGGATGGAAATGAAAGCCAGCACTGCATTAAAACAGGTAGGGGACTCTCTTTTCCCTTCCATTCCCAGTTGGGCTTTGCCTCTCCTGGACTGCATCTGCCCAGCGAGAACACCCCAGCTCACTGGTGCCCATGGGGAAGGAGGTGTGCCTTACCTGGCCCACTGCAGAAGGAGGCGATGATGGCTAGGATGCACACAATACTCAGGTATGGGATCCAGGGGGCACAGTCCTGTGAAAGAGCAAAGGTGTGGGCAGGGAAGGAGGTACTGGGGTAGAGAGGATCTGGGTTCTCACCCCAACTCCTTCTTGATCTATCTGCATGACCTGAGGAGATCACTTCACATCTCTGAGTCCCAGTTCAGGGTCCATAAAATGGAGATAATGATAACCCCCAAGCCATTCTATCTGCCTATTTTATAAATGTGAGGTGAAAGAATTTGATGCCTCCCAAGAATTTATCAGTGTCCTCAGTATCCAGCAGGTGGTAAATAAATGAGTAACCAACACTGCTTGAGTGTGTAGTCTGAACAGGCAATATGGGAAGTTGTATAGGCATTATCACATTTAAAAAATTTTCTTAATCTCTATTATTGTGTGAAACACTACATTTCTACCCCTCCTCTCCTGATAGGTATGAGATAAGTTAACTGTAGGCATTAAATATGTTTGAAGGGGCTGTCACTTGTCTGGCAGGGTCAGGGTGGCTCAGTGCTGGGCATGGAAAGATATCTAGGAAATTGCCCCTGTAATAGCAGACTGAATGGCTGATAATTAGAATATGGTATCACCAATGATGGGACATGGTGAGCATGTGGGGGAGGAGAAGGGGCATGTGAGCCCAATCTAGAGAGATTCAGGGAGGGAAGGAGACTATGTTCACCTTTGAAGGCTGAGCTGGGATCACACAACAGGAAAAGGAGAGGAGAAAAGGTTCCAGGAGAGGGTTCTATGTGAGCAAGGGCACAGAGGAACAGGAGAGCACAGCACAGGAGTGAGCAGCAAATGTTCAGAGTAGAGGGTGATGGGTAGAGATGGGGAGAGCAGCTCTTCCATGCCCAAGTCCATCAGCTCTTGATGAAGGAGGATCTAGGATTGAGAGGAGCATTGTAGGCTCTTGTACACCGCATGGCTCACTGCTACACTAAGTTATCCACCATCCATCCATCCGGTATTCATCTAACCATTCATTCACTCACTCTCATCCATCTATCCATCCACCATCCATCCATCTATCCACCCATTCATCCATCTATCATCCACCCATCCATCTACCCATTGATCTATCCATCATCCATCTATCCAACCATCATCTATCTATTCATGCATTCACCCATCCACCCATAATCCATCATCTACCCATCTATCATCCATCCATTCATCCATCCACCTATCCACCCATCCATTTATCCATCCATCTGCCCATTATCCATCCAACATCCATCCATCCATCCATCCATCCATCCATCTATTCATTCATATGGCAGATTGTTTTTGGTTCCTCCTGGGTGCCATGCACTGGGCTAGGAGGTGGGAACACAGGAATGATACAGGCATGGCCCTGCTCCCACAACTGTATTAGAGAAGAAAGATGAGTCAACAGGGAAAGCCAATCCTGTGATAAGTGCTACTGCAGGATTTCCCCTGGGGTCCCTGGGAACATAGAAGAGGGTGACTCACTGAGACATAGGATAAAGGGTGATGGGGGCAGCCAAGCAAGGAAAAGCTCTGAGACCTTGTGAAGTCAGGCTTAGGGGGACCCACATGCTCCAGACAGCCCTTCCAAACGTCTGCCACAGCAGCAGAAAGACCTTGCCCCAGAACATCACCCAACCAGTGAGGGACCCAGCTTGGTCAGTCTGAGGGGCCTGCAGGGGCATCCTGTCTGGTAGAAAACTCTGGTCGGCAGTTGGGAAGGAGGAGCCACTGCCAGTACATCACCCCCAAGGAAGATGTTTCTGCCTCCTGAGTGGTCAGCGTGCCCAGTAGCACCACCTTTCTGAAGGACAGGTGCTGTCAGGCACCACTCAGCTAATATTGCCTTTTTCTAGAGGTTTTTGGGACATTAAGACATTTGGCAAATGATCAACATGTGCAACTTTCCACTTAGTGATTCATTTTTGAAAAGTGCAAAGATTTGTTGGCTACCGTGACCTTGCCTCATGCTTCACTTGGTGCTGAGACAGGCTCCAGGCACCAAGAAAGTGCTCAGTCACTGCAGGCTGTTGTGAGCAGCACAGGGGGGCTGATGGAAACCCCAAGATCCCGGAATCTCATCCCAGTTCTGCCATTTACTAGCTGTGCAGCCTTGAGCAGCTTCTGCATTTATATTTATGCCTCAGTTTCCTGTCTCTATAAAAGGGAAAAATACCACTTTCACCAGGATTAGGTACAGCATAGTCCATCCCCCCAAACCTACATTTGGGTGCCCTTCCAGGTACTGTAGGTACATTTTCTCATTTAATCCTCCTAACACCCCTGGGCATAGGGACAACAGTCTCATTTTAGAGCTGGAGCCCTAAGGAGCAGAGCCCCTGCTGGAACCCACAGGCAATAATATGATAATTGTGGAAGTGCCTCGTGTGGCACTTCCAGCTGCTCTGTGCTAAAATGTGGGAGCCAGAGGAGTTATCTTAGGGGTGTCTGGAGCAGTCTTCTCTATTCCATAAATGAGAAAACTGAAGCTTAGAGAGGAGACGTATTTTGGCCAAGTTCAGACAGCTCACTAGAGGCAGTGAGAGGACTATATATCCAGTGTCTGTCTTCTAGTCCAAGGACCTGTTACTAAACCCTCCTCCTTGAGGGCATCCAGCAGCTTCTAGCCGAGATGCCCCTTGGAATGCCATATCATAAGAGTTGTCCGTAGACAGTATGAACTTCCCAAGCCAAGGCCCCAGAGCACCAAAGCCAGAGGCTGGCTCCATGCTGACCTCCTTCAGGGCATGAAAGTCACATCCTCTCACCTGAAATGTCAGTGTGATGGTGATGATCCCAAAGAAGAGGGCCATCAGCCCAAAGCCACTTATGAGGAGGGGTCTCCGTCCCAGGCGCTCGATGACCAAGCCCTAGGTCAAGGCAAAGGACAGATGGTTATTACTTCACTTCTAGTAGCAGGAGAAAGGGAATATTGGGACTGGGAACCAGCACAGGGATCATGGTTAAAGGGTGGCTTTGACCTTCAGCTAGCCCAGCCATTTTCTCTATGGCCACAGCCAGAGAGGCAAAGATCTTTATGAGAAAGGGTGGGAGAAGAAAATCACCGTCCTTGAGCACCTACTGAGTGTCCACACACTCCCCTTTCCTGCTAATCTTCATTTCTAGGGAAGGGTGGGGTTACCTGCCAGGTGGTCTGCAAAAGGAACCAAATGGACATGGTTGCTGTAGCCCTTCACCCACCCTTTGGTGCCAGCCTGCCATGGAAAGCAAGTGCTCTCGACTTCTAATGCCCCTGTGTTTTAGATGTTATAGAGGCAGGCTCCCAGGGCAGGGGCCCAGGGGTAAGAGGGGGCAGAGAAGGTTCTGGTGTTTTCCACTCTCCCTGAGTGTGGGTGGGTCAGTTTCATTCTAGGGTGTGATACCAGGAAGTCCACGTGACTGTAGCTCCTGAAGCCATGTCCCCTGGCCCAGTGTCCCACAGCTATAGGGCTGTTAGTGACCTCTGCCCAGCTGAATGGTCACAGTCCTGCCCTCAAGGCTGAAGGAGTCTTGCTGCAGGAACCCAGAGCCCTCCTCCTTTTCCTCTTTCCTCACACCCCACTCTGAGCAGGGCGAGCTCTCCCAGAGACAGCGTGGGCTGCTGTTCCACTTGGCCAAGTGCAACTCAGGAGGTGAGTGGGCACAGCTCTAGCCAGCCAAGTGCCCAGAGGACAGGCCACAGGGTGTTGCCTGGGTACCGTGGTATAAACAGTGAGGAGACCGGGGGGCTCCGGTGTGGAAAGTCAGGGGTTGGAGTGGAAAACATGCTTGGCTGATGGCCACTGGCTGGAAAACATCCACAGCAGCTTGAGGACCTGGGTGGCTCAGGTGTTGAACATCTGCCTTTGGCTCAGGGCGTGATCCCAGGGTACTGGGATCGAGTCCTACCTCAGGCTCCCTCTGGGGAGCATGCTTATCCCTCCACCTATATCTCTGCCTCTCTCTCAGTGTCTCTCCTGAATAACAGATAAATTAAAAAATCTTTAAAACCAAACAAAAACATCCACAATTTCCTTTGGGAAGCCTTTCCCAAAGTAGGACCAATTAGTTGTCTGATTTTACAAGTGAAGAAACTGAGACACAGAGGTTTTGGGAACTTGTCCAAAGCCATGTGGCTGGTAGGAAGTAGAGTTGGGATCATCTACAAAGTCTTTTCTGGTTGCAGAGGAGGAGGATGAAGATAGTTTGGTCATTCAGTGGGAAGCCAGGCCCAGTGAGACCCACGGAAGCAGTAAAGATCGACAATTGCTGAGAAAGTTCTAAAGAGAAAGAAGGGCCAGCATCCAAGTCATCTCTCCCCCTAAAACCGTCATGAGTTGGGTTCCAGCAAAGGGAAGGTCCAGATAGGAGCTGCCAGGACGAGAGCAACATGCATAACGAAACTGGGCCCCTGGGTTGGGAGTTGGGGTGGGGAATGGGGAAGGTCAGCGACACCCAGGATCAGATATTCTGGGATTTGTCAAAAGCCACATTCTATTGCTATTCAGAGATAAGCAAGTGGAATACGTGCTCTCTCACACTGCAGGGATGGCTGAAAAATATACATACTCTTCCATTCAGTCATTTGCCTTGTATTTATCCTAAGAAAATAGACATTTGGTAGAAGACTTATGGACAAAGATCTTCAAATATACTGTAGTTTATACGAATGAGGAAATAGAAAGCATCTAGGAGTACACCAACAATTGAATCCTTCAATAAATACTGGAATATCCAGATGACAACTATGTAGGGATTCACATATTTTAAAAGAATTTTAAAGAACAGAAAAGTCCTCAGGTTACGACTCTAAGGGAAAAGAGCCAGACACAGAGCTGTATCTCGCATATATTTATGTACACAGTTTGGTCAATTATGATTCTGTTAAACTGATATACCCTGGAAAAAATTATGCAAAAAATAGCTTTTAATGGCTGTTTGTGGGAATATGTGGTTATTCTTTTACTCATCATTTTTCAGTCTTTTCCAAATTTTCCACCGTAAGCTTCTTTTTATTAATTAAAAAAAAAAGTCTAAAACATAGACTTAGCTAAGGCATTGGAGACACTATGCCCTGAGTCACAAATCGTTACTCTTCCCCTACCCCTGCTGATTTCTGATACCCACACATGCAGATCTTCACCGTGTAGAATGTCTCTGCTACAATCTCAGGATGGCCTCCCCATTCCCCACCGTTACGCTGGCAAGGAAGACGAAGGCTGCTCATAGCTGGAATGTGTGGTGACGGCCTTGTCTCCTAGGGTTAGGGTTACAGTGCCCAGTGACAGAGCACAGAAATGACAAGAGAAATTGCCACGACAAGCATCACAGTCACTGCGAGACACCGAGCACTTAAGTTGCTGTCCCGAGATTAACATGTGTTGCATTGTTACCCTGAGATTACTGTGCACTTGCTACTGACTTCAGTGTTCTGTTTCTTCTTTTTCTTTTGGTTTGTTTTAGTTTCTTCAAAGGCACCACCAACAATTTCAGTATCAGCAAGTATGCCCCAGATATAAACCAACCGAAAATCACTGTCCTACATCATGATACCCAACAATCAAATGCTTTGGGGTGGGGATGGGGATCTGGCAGTTTCATTTCCCTAAAGTCTCCTGATGAACCAAGGTAGAGCTGGAAACACTGTCCTTGATTTGGAAATAGTCTCTGACGGTGTCTAGGAAGACACCAAAGAAATAGCTGTGAGAAAGGAAGGGATAAAAACAATTCTGTCCATCCTAGTGGGAAACCCAACCAGTCTGCAGGGCTCCTTTCTTCATCTCTTCCTCTTTTAAATTGTTTTAAAGTGCAGCCTGTCGAAAAGGATTAGGGTGAAGACGGTATTTCCACTCAACATTAAAGTCATTAGTGAAAACATTAACTTACGATGAACAATGGCCTCTGACGGTTACTGACATCAGCTGGAGATGGACTGTCAGCCTCCAAGAAATCTCTTCTGGGGACCTCTGAGCTACAGGGTTATTTAGTCATTCAGCAGCCCTGTACCCAACACCTCCTGCCCACCCCACAGTGCTAGGACTGCTGGTGGGCTAATAAAGAGAAGGCCTTTTGTCATGGTTAGTATTTAAAACCAACTTTATTGACTTAAATTTGTAGAATCAATAAAATGTACTGATTTTAATTGTACAGTTTGGTATATTTTATCGCTTCTTGGCCTTTTGGCTAAGATCAAGTGTGGTATATTTTAACAAATTTATACACTTGTAAAGCCATGACCGTATCAAGATACAGAACATTTCTATCACTCCAGAGTTCCCTGTGCCCCTTTCCCTCGCTGCAAGCAACCACTGATGTGCTTTCCATGACACTAGGTTAGGTTAGAATTCCATATTGGTGATCACTATACTTTAAAAAAAGATTTATCTGTCTATTAGAGACAGAGAGAGAGAGAATGAGAGCAAGCGCACAGGAGGGGAGATGGGAAGGGGCAGAGGCAGAGAGAATCCCAAGCAGACTCCATACTGAGTGGGGAGTCTGACTCAGGGCTCACCCCACAACCCTGAGATCATGACCCGAGACCGGGGCCTGAGTTGAAACCAAGAGTCAGACATCTAACCAACTGCACCACCCAGGTGCCCTGGTGATCGCTATACTTTTGAGAATCATCTCTGTTGCACATACCGTTCCTTTTTGGTGCTGAGTAGTATTTCATTGAATGGATATACCACTGTGTTACTCCATTCATCGGATGGATTTCTGGGCTGTTTCAGTTTGAACTTTTCTGACTAAAATTTTATAAACATTGATCCAAGGCTCTGTGTAGACATGTGCTTTGCTTTCCCTTGGGTAAATACTCATGAGAAGAATATTTCGAGTGTATGGGTAAAATTTTTATGAGAAACTGCCAAATTGTTTCCCAAGGAGCTGTACCACGTCAGATTCCCAGTGGTTCCACATCTTCATCAACATTTGGTATTATCGACATTTTGGTATTAATCATCCTTACGGTGAACAGAGGTATTTCATTGCGAGTTTTAGTTTTAATTTCCCTGGAGCCTTACGGTGTCAAGCAATTTTTCATGTGTTTATTGAAACTTTTGATAGCTTCATTTGTACAATGTTTGCTCAAGTCCTTTGTTCATTTCCGAGTGGGCTGTTGGTCCTGTTTTTGTTGTATTCTAAGAGTCCTTTATATCTTCTGGATTCAAGTCCCCAGTGAGATGTATACTTTGTGAATATTTCCCAGTCTGACCTGCCTTTCCGTTCCCTTCACAAACTCTTTTACATAGCCACAGCTTTTAATTTTGATGAAATCCTATTAATCAATTTTTAAAAAATTCATGCTTTTTTGTGTCCCACCTAAGAAATCTCTGCATACCCCAAGGTTGCAAAGACTTCCTCCTACGCTCCCTTCTAGGAGTTTTAGAATTTTAGCTTCTATGTTTCATTCCGTGGTCCATTTTGAATTAATTTTGTGTGTAGCATGAGATTGGGGTTATTTCCTTTTTTCCCATGTGAATATTTAGTCTTTTGGTATTATGGTAAGACTAACTTTCCCCATTGAATTACTTTGGCATCTTTTGTATTTCTGGATTCTATTCTGTTCCATTGATCTATATGGCTGTCCTTATGCCAACACCATGCTGTCTTGATTACTATGTAGTGAACGTTACACAGCACTTACTATGTGCCAGCTATGGTTATAGGTGCTTTACATATAGTAAGAATTTAATCCTCATAACACTTCTATGGGTATATAGAGGTTCAGAGAGTTTAGCAGCCAGCCCAAGGTCACACAGTGGCAGGGCCAGGTTTCAAGTCCAGGCATTCTGGTTCCAGAGTCTTGCTCTTAACCTCTGAGCTGTACTGCCTCTCCTTACTGGCACATACAGATTTATCAGAAGGGTATATGCACTCTCCCAAGGCTTTC